GTTAATAAATGTGTCATTTGCATAATGTCTGTAGCTCTGCTGGAAATCTTACAGAACCATCAGGCAAAGGAGATGGTCTAGTTTTATAATAAAGTATAAACGGTTTTTTTAATTCAGTTACATGAATCAAAATTATTTAATTATCCCATTTTATAAAACTTGGACAAATGTTCAGACTGACAATATTCCCTTAATAGTTTTACTGCTCACATAAACACCATTTGACACACATACACACACGCCAAAACAGAATTCTAAATCAATAATAGTTAATCTGTTTTACCATAAATGGCAGTTAACACAATTGTACAAATAAAGCCATGGCCTCATTTCTCTTGTAATAACATGATATGCCAGACATGTCAAACACAAGGCCCGGGGGCCAGATATGGCCCGCAAAGTGGTTTCATGTGGCCCACGAAGCCATCCTGGAAACAGTGAGGGAACGGCCCCCGCTGCCTTGGCTCTGGCACAGGCCGGCCGGGAACTAATGTACAATTTTGTGGTGGCACCACCATCCAGCGCCCCCCTCCACATGGCCTGAGAGGAACAGTGAGGCTCCTCCGTGGATCATGCCTTGACACTTGCCCTGGTCCCACCCCTTTTTGCCAGAGACCCTCAGATCCCACTCCTGCCCAGGCCGCCACAGGCCCCCTTGACGTAAACGATGTAGAGCTGGCCACGCACCACAGTGAGCCACCCCCCCACCCCCCCAAGGGCAACCACAATGCTTATGCGGCCCTCAATGAAATTGAGTTTGACACCCCTGTGATATGCAGTTGGCTTAGAACTAATGCCTTTCTATCCACCAAATCTTTTTCTACTTGAAATAATCAATACATGAATGAAGTAGAAGTACTTTAACAAAATCACTTCCATAGCAATAGCAATGGTACTTAGACTTACTATACTGCATCACATTGCTTTACAGTCCTCTCTAAGCAGTTTACAGAGTCAGCCTATTTCCTCCAACAATCTGGGTCCTCATTTTACCAACTTCAGAAGGATGGAAGGTTGAATCAACCTTGAGCCTGGTGAGAGTCGAACTGCAGAATTGCTGGCATAGGATCACTATTTTCACTTTCCAAATCCTAAGAAATATGTGTCAATATTTCAACTGACCTCAAATTTTCAAGAATACATGATCCAACCACTTGTTCTGATCATTAAGAGAACATAAAAATCAGCATCCAGGCAGTGTCCCACTCCCCCTCCAGATCCATAATTCATATTGTGTTCATTGCTTTGATGCTTTTTTCTGGAAAAACTTAACTGGTCAGTTTGAGAAGGACCTTCAAATTCTCTGTCTGGTTAGAAAGAGGTAAATAAAAAGCAGGATGTGCTGAGGTGGCTTAATTTAACGGGAAGGAGAAACTGGGAAACAAGCAAAAACAATAGTCCTATCAATGGAAAATTGTCCACACCCTAAACTCTGCAAAGCTTCAACTGTCAGGCTTCAAGCCAGATGTAGCAATAAATCTCATCTTTCCACACATTCAATATTATGTTCAAGAACTTGCTTATGATAGAATTTCACAAATGTGACACCAGATGTATGTATTCACAAAAGATTTGCAGTACACAGAAATCAAAGAACAGTATCTTGAACCCCTTGAGTATCTCCTTAACTTTAAAGGGCTTTAAATTCTAAGCCCTTTCAAATTAACAAAAAATTGGGAATTCTCGTCACAATTTTAGGAAATACCTGTTCAACATTGGAGTAGCATTTCTGTTTGCCTCACAATAGGACTTCCAGCTCTTCCAGCATCATTCCTTACCCCAACAAATATTAAATAGTATTGAAATAGAACCAATAATAGGTTTAGATTTACTTTAGAGAAACAACTTGATTATTTTCAGTAATACAAATTTCAGTCATGAAATGTCTTGAAGCCACATAGAAAACAATGGCATTTTTTCATATAACCATATACGCACATACTGTATGTTTCAAATGGAAACTAATGAAACAAGGAAGGAATTAGTTCTAAGTATCCTTGTAACAACCTATCTCTATTTTACAATACTATTTTTGTCACTTGCCTTCCTTATTTTGGGTCATATTATTTGTCAAGGACAGAGTCCATTGCTACATAATGAGGCCTGAGGTTGAAACTCGTCTGAAAGATCAGAAGATTTATTATTATTGTACAGTGAAAAATTAAAGAACACATTTCTACAGGAAGTGATATTTAAAAGTGTTAGAAATTGTTTTTGCTTAAGAGTTAATCAGGTGAAAATCTCTCTTGCAACAAAATCAACTCCTGATAACTATATGAACATGGACTTGTAGTTTTCTTAGCAATACAGAAATGTTTTTTCACTGTCATCTTTTGCAAATTTTACATCCAGTCTAGTCTACATCTCTGGGATTTCTAAACAATTTGGACTAATCTTACAGTTAAAGACAGACGTACTCAGACCTGGTCACCGTTATTTTCCTATTTAAACTGGTTTTTTTTTTATAAATAATAAACTTTATTTTTCAAGACAGAAATGGTATATATGATCATTGTTTTTTCAAGACAGAAATGGTGTATATGATCGTTGACAACTTCTGTATCTTTGTGTAAGATTATATATGTATTCATTTACAGCCTGAACAGATTTTATTTTATTCTTTGTTTAATTTCCTTTAAATTCTTATGTTTTTTATTTTTCTTTCCACTTCCAGGAGTTTGAAATATTCTAATATTTCTTTGCCCTTGTTTGAGTCCTGAAGTGAAACTTAAATCCATCAATATAATCTGCATAATCAACCTGTCTTGGCCACTCCTGCCATCCCACTTTAAATTTTACGTTAGTTTAGTGCAGTGGTTCTCAACCTTTTTAATGCCGCGACCCCCAACCGGTTGTAAGTCAAGGACTACTCAACCGGTCATAAGTCGAGGACTACTCAACTGGTGCAGCACCATTTGCAGAATGGGACTTTTGGCGGGCTCAGCAGGGCAGAGACAGCCTGGACAATTCCTATTGGCTTTTGAAAGCCAATAGAATTAGACTCTATTCAAGAGAGTCTATTCTATTGGCTTTCAAAAGCCAATAGAATAAAAGGGAGTAGCACAGCTAAGGGGGAAAAAATGGCGGACTGCGTTGTTTGCCAACCCCCGTGAAATGGTCGTTCGACCCCAAATGGGGTCCCGACCCACAGGTTGAGAACCACTGGTTTAGTGAGTTAGACTGCAAAAGTGAGATGTAGCCTTTTAATAAAATGTATTTGTTGAGGATTTTCAGTTTGCTGAGGCAGCCGATATGGACGTCTGGAAGGCAAGCTCTGTCTTCCGCGTTCAGTTTCGCTTCACTGGGGGATGCTGGAAAGGGTTAAAAGTCGCCCTGTAGGGGCGACCAGCAATGAGGGGATCCCTGTTGGATTGCAGGAGGTCAGTAGCTCTTCCGCTTGATCCAGGGCAGCCCTCCAAACCAGTGGATGAAAGACCAGCCATAGCAATATGGCTCGTCACTAGGCTGCAGACAGCCAAAGTCACACATACCATCAGGCAATTTTAAGGCAGCACGGATGAGACTGGGTGAGATCTACCTCTCTTAAATCCTAACTATTTTCTTTATCTGCATAAGCTGCCTTAAGTACTTTTCCCCCCTGTGCAGAGGGAAGGGAGATGTTACCCCTCCCTCTAGAAACAATGGCGACTATCCAGGGGAGTTTAAAATGTTAAAGAACAACTTGATCCTAATTGGAATTCTATTTTTTAAAGTTTGTGGACTAAAAGATCTTCTTTGCTTATTGAAGATTGAGGTTTTTACTTATAAGAAAGAAGCAAAACTGAAAAGATTATAAAAACTTTGGATTCAAAAGAAAACTTTTAAGGGTAGGAGCAACATCTTGTGGCTAAATCTGATACTACAATTTGTTATTGTCTAAAAAAGACTTGGCCAGCAGCCCAGAAAAATAGATAACACTTATGCAACCTTGAGAGAAGCCCAGCTGTGTTTCTTATTGACAAAATCTTTTTTTTTTTGCATTCTCTGTTTGTAAAGCTTTTAACCTAATACATTACTAAGAAAATATGGATGAAGATCAAGAACAGATTCTCTCTATGTTAAAAGCAATTAATCAAACTCTTCTTACAGCTACTGATGAAATAAGAGGTTATAAAAAAGAATAAGATGTCAGCCCAGATATACAAAATCAAACTTTCATTACATCTGAAAAATCAACTACACAGAATATAACAGGAAAGGTAGAACAATTAAAGAGTATGATAGAAGATTCAACTGATCAACAAATACAGTCAACAGGAAACCCAGAAAAGGGACTGACAATATGGAAAAATGAAAAGACTTTCACATAAATCAGAAAGAACCTGAGGATCAAGAAGAAGAACAGATTGAAGAGAAGATAAACAGTTCAGGACAACTACATCAAGATGGAAAAATAAAGAAACAATTTGGAAGTACTCTCAAAAAAAATAGCGACCAGCTGGTTTTTTCTACGTCAAATAATCTATATAACAATACAGGAACATTTGTTTGATGATCCTAAAGCACGGACATGGAAGACGATTTGGCAACGAAAGAAAGCTAGAATAAGACTGAAGAAAATTGGGGTTTTGACTTACTTGTGTGAATTAAAATAGAATATACCCAAATAGATAAGACATGTACTTTGAAATATTAGACCTTGTTATAAGATGAGATAAAGAACTTTGGTTATTTATAACTTAGAAGTATAAACATTAATAGTTAAATTTGAACAGTGATTTGCTTATAAAGGTTAAATGTAAAGATAATTAATATATAAGCTAAAAATCAATCGATGAATGTAATAAATATTTTTTTACCTAGCAGTAATAGTAAGAATTATTAGCTTAAATATGAGATAGTAAATATTAAGAGAAAAAGACAGGAAATATTAAATGTTGAAATAGTAGGAATTTTGGTTACTAAATTTAAGATATATGGAAATTACCAGAAAATAAGAATATTATATTGTATTACTAATTAGCTGATGTAAGATGGTGAGAACTCAAATAGGTAAGATGTGTATTCAGAACATTAGATCTTGTGATGAATTGTGATAAAGGGAATTAGGGTTATTTAAAATTTGGAAATTATAAATATCAAACATGAAATATAAATATTAATGGGAAACCAAAAATTGGGGAAAATTAATCAGGACATTGTCTAAAAAAATTGAATGTTAAAACAACTAGGATATTATAAACTAAAAATTGTTGATAAATGTGAGAAAGTTATTTTTTATTTAATTGATATAATAAGAATTGTACTAATTTAAAGATGAGACAGTAAACACTAAGGGGAAAAGAGGGGAAACACTTAATGTAATAGTTTGAGATTTGTACTAAAGATATTTGTATATTACGGAATTATTGACCAACTCAGCCACCACATTGCTTTTCCAATACTTAAATGTAAAACTAGAAAACCAATAAAATTTTCTTAAAAAATAAATAAAATGTATTTGTTAAGAAATGACTTTTACCTACCATAGGTTTAACACTCCCAATAAGTGCCAGAGTTCACATTAAGCTGAACAAAGAAAGCCCTATTATGGCTTAGCCGCTGAACACAGCCATTATGTTTGTTCTGCAAATCACAAGTATCTAAGGTGGCAACTCTGTTCTCTTTGTCCCCAATTTAAATAATCACTAACTGACCACGATATGCTGCTTTACCTAAATCCTGCAAACGCGGGAATTCCAAGATTTGCAGATCAAAACCTGCCTAGCTTTAGGGCCTATACAAGAGGATCACATCCAGTTTAAAGAGAAATCCGAAGCCCTTAAGGAAGTTAGAAGCTTCATGCCTGAAGAATCAATTCGGGAGCGGAAGGGCAGTTACACCTGCCTGCAACCTTTAGGGGAGGAAACCAGACTCGTTTTTTCGAAAGGGCAATAATAATTTACCAAGAAAGGAAAAAAAAAAAAAAAGCACACCACACTCACAGCCTGAAAACCTGTTCTGTTACTTAGATGAAGAGCCAACGTTGTATGGAGTGAGTGAGAATCCAAACCAAGGAGGTCGAGACCGGAGCCCAAATAACCCGGCCGGCGGGAGCGAAGAAAAGAGGGTGTGAACCCGGGAAAGGTCAGAAAATGCGCCAATTTGCCAGCTAAACAAATTGCTGGCAGCGACCTACGGGCAACCAAGCGCAAATCTTGAGGAAAGCGATTTGCATTTCCAAACCACTTTTGGAGGCGGCAAGCTGCCCGCCGTTGAAAAGGGCAGCACGAAGTGTGCCGGGGGGGGGCGGGGGGCGGCGGTTAATTCCTTCTACTTCGGCAAAACCGACGTAGGGGCTAAACCGGGGGAGGAGAGAAAGGGGGGGGGGAGAGAGAGAAATTACACGTTGGCGGAAGAAGAGCACATTCTTTACTCTGCAATCCCGAAGGAAAAGAAGTTTTCTCCTGCGGGGCGCGGAAGCCCTCCTCCTCGGCCACCTGGGCGCTGGCGTCGGTTTTCCTGCTCGGGCGAAGAGGACTCGCGTCCGCCCCGAAAGCGAAGGCTGCGGCCGAGGCTGGTGCGCGCGCCCGGGGAGGAGTCAGGCATTTGTGCCCCAAGGGCTGAGGCGCGCTCCCTGCCTGCCGGTTTACCTGTAGCAGGACTTGCGCTGGAGAACAGAAGCGAAGAGACGGACGATGAAAAGAAGCGAGGACCGGCGGAGTTTATTGTTGGCCGGCCGTCCCGAACAGTAGCTTCCTGGGTTGCGGTGAGTCTGAATGAGGGAATCGGGATTGGGTCAGCGGAGTCAGATAATAATAATACCCTTTTCTTAGTGCATTGGAAACACAAAAGAAGCCGGCGCAGGAGTCTTTGCCTGGCCTGATACCGGTATTAATAAGGAGTGCTGCATAGGATTGACTCAAGAGATTAGGGTGCGATTCGGGAAATGTGCCAGAAGAAAAGGCGTCTTCAACTAAGCGGGACACTATTTTCTTGGTCTGGGAGAAAATTGGTCTTTCTTGCTTTGGAAGCATTTGGAAAGCAAGTTCATTTCTTGCTGATACCTTAACGCTTCTCTGAAATTAATTACTTTAGTGTTGTATCTCCGTTATTCATTCAGTTTAGCTGTTTTGAGCTTTCAACTTGTGGCTGTGTTGGCATCACATAGAGCCTCACACTAGCCAACAACACTTTTACTAAGTGGGTGAGCGAACCCAGCCTGTTCGATTAACGTTTCCGGAATATATTGCTTTCTCCTAAACGTGTCAGCCTTTGTATTCTACACTTCTTTGTACAAAACGTAATATTTTAAAAGCAATAGAATGCTAACAAATCCCATGTTTGCTACAGTAAAACCAGCAACTGCTTAATTTTCTTGTATTAATGTGTTCCACGGCTTTAAATGCTAACCTTGCCAACTACAAATGAATAACTGAGTTTGAATTTTACCAACAGTACTTAGATATCTCCTGAGTTAACATCTTCATTTATTTTAATTGGGCAAGAGACCTTAGATTATCATATTTTATAATTTGCAAGCTAATCAATTAAAACATTTTATTATAGATTTTCTCCAGTCTGTGTGATAAGAAATACTAATGTCATATAGGCTTTACACCCAAAACTCAGTTATTTTACGTTTCAGAATGAGCTGTTATAGGGTAACCAAAATTAAGATTTCAGCTAGATGACAGCACAAAGGTAGGATTACCTATCTATGGCATTGTTGCCATTAAATGGTCCTCAAGATTTTTTCAGTTCTGATGTGGCTACTCTGCTGATTGGTTATAACCAACCCTTTTCAATCTTAAAATATGCTGATAAAAGGAGAATTTAAAAAAAAGATTTAAGATACATCATAATTAACTTTAAAATATGTCTTTCCCTTCGAATGGTTATGCAATATGGTAGATATAAACAGTTCTGTACAAACCACTAAAGTGATATTCACAAAACAAATAAACAAACTTTGTTGCTTAATATCATTTGAATAAACCTACATAGCCAGTGAGTGGCAATGTAGTGTTTCATATAGATAAGAGCTTTCTTCAGGATCATCAAAAATACCTTTTCACAGAGGTTTGGCAAAATGTATACATTTCTGTGTAAATCCAGATATATCAACAAATGAAATATTTCAATCAGTGGTCAGTTCTACTAAATTGATAGTTTTCTGTAAAGCTGAATTTTGCATGTGTAAAGGATTTTAAAGAAAAAGAGTCATGCAGACCTGGCAGTTGAGTGTTCATATCCTGCCCTAGTCAGTGAAGCTTGGACAGATATTGAAAGGATGGTGTAGTTCATAAATGCTCTCAGTTTTTTACATTGTATTTGTCTACTTTATTCTATTTATGTAATCTTTGGCTCAAAGAACTCCATTTATTATCCATAAGAAAATATTAATTTCTATTGCTTTTATCCCATTGCATTAATAATATTTATTCAGAATTGATAAACTGTGGATAGCCTATGCCATCAAATTGTTTTACAATTACTTTATTACATTTATTTTTGTATGACTACAGATATGTATACTTGATACTCTTGAATTAGAGATATGAGTTCAATTAATTGCTAATGTATTCTTCCTGAATAGTTTCTGAAGTGTTCATTGCAGTTAAAAGTCAAATGGTATTTCTTCCTTGTTACCTATACCATTGTAGACCTTGTCTATGCATTTTTTATAGGTAAGTCTCACCATAATTTTTTCCTTCTCCTTGAATGGCTACACATGGAAGTGCCCTTTAAGTACTAAAATAAATAACATTAAAAAAAAAACACCCTCAAAGTTTAAAGTTTCTTTAAAGTTTCTTCCTCACCTGCCTACACCACTTTTTATCAAAATTCCATTACTAAAAATTTGTACTATTAGGACATTCTGTTCTGATGCATAACTTTGATCATCTAGCTGTCTGGGTGTGCTTAGAATATTTAGCCATGTCACATAGCTGTCTAAAAATAAACAATTTTTAAAATTTTCTTTCAAATGAAGTCTTGGCAGATCCTCATTTAGGTGTATTTTTTCTAGTTAAATCCTAGCTATTTTGTATCTAAGAGAAGAGGTCCTAGAGTCATCATTCAATTTACTTTTTAAGGTAGAGAGTAGAATCAGCCACTAAGCCTTAGGTGTATTTGAAGGGACCACAATAATAGCATTGATTCAATTACTGCTGTTGCATAAATAAGCAGAAGTAGGGTTTTCTTCATACAACATTTTGGTAAACCTTTTTTTGCAATATTATTCTCATGTAAACTATTTTATATTGTAATTAATGCATTTATTTTATTGGATAATTGTCATTTCCAGATATTGTATTGTCCTGTAAACCATTCTGGGGAAAATGATTTTGAAAAGTGGCATACAAAATATACAAATAAATATTTCTATCTTCCCTTTCCACAGCCTCTTATTTTTTTCCATTTTGAATTGTTAAATGAGTAAATCTGTAAATATTCTTACAAGGATGGGTGAAACTATCAGTTTAAACAAAGTTTGCTTTTTTGCAGTTCCAACTTGAAATTCAGATAGAGGTTAAGTCTGAATATTCTTTGAATTCTTTTCCTTATAATGAAACAAGGTACTAAAACTTAGGCTTACTTTTGTTTATTAGAAATATATATTTTTGGAAAATAATCTCCAGTGCATACAAATAATTTATAGTATTAAAAAGATATCTTATAGCTGAAAGTACAGTAAATAAATGTGCCCCACTGTGTTTATTTAGATTCATGTCTATGGAGATTCTCAGTCATCCAGGTCATTCTTATCCCAAAGATGCTTTTTCACAAAGCAACTGGACTTTCTTGTTTTTCTTTGAAGACATTTTGCTTCTCATCCAAGAAGCTTCTTCAGCTCTGACTCTTGAAAAAGCATCTTTGGGATCTATTTAGATTCCATAGTGCATTGTCTCATTTCTGCTATATTGTCTGGCATTGGTTTTGTTCCAGTATGCTACTTGTATTTTCTCAGAATTGATTTATTAAGAGACTATTTTGCTTATGACTTATGGCTCTAAACAATGTATTTGTTATTTTTTAAAATATGATTACATTTATGCACCACACTACAAGAAAAATATGATCATGTTCTTCCCATTCTCACAGAGTGAGGCCAGTTCTTCTCTGCCTTCAAAGTGTTCTAAGTATGAACTATTAGCAATTTAAATGTGATTCTTATCATCTGCCTTACATTCCTCACCCACACTTTCAAGTGAGCGTCATTCAACCCTATTCCCTTAATGCTTAATCTGTTCTGCTTTACAAATTTTAAAGTTGCAAAACTGCTTCTGGGATGATGGTGGGTTTGTAATGTTGGAAGTCTGAGCCAATCACTGTCATAAACTGATGCTTTCTGCCATCGAATGACAGAACCAATTTCTCTAAGATTCATCTTAGGAAAGGATTTACAATGTACAGGTAGTCCTCGACTTACAACAGTTTATTTAGTAACCATTCAAAGTTACAACGGCATTGAAAAAAGTGACTTATGACCGTTTTTCACAGTTACAACCGTTGCAGCATCGGCATAGTCATATGTTCAAAATCCAGATATTTGGCAAGTGACTCATATTTATCACAGCTACAGTGTCCTGGGGTGATGTGATCACCTTTTGCAAACTTTGGACCAGCAAAGTCAGTAGGGAAACCAGATTTACTTAACAATTTTGTTACTAATTTAACAACTACAGTGATTCACATAACAACTGTGGCAAGAAAGGTCATAAAATGAGGCAAAACTCACTTAACAAATATCTTGCTTAGCAAAAGAAATTTGGGCTCAATTATGGTCGTAAGTTGAGGACTACCTGTCATTTCACTAGTACCTACAAGTACTGTATTATATATTATGTCTCTGTCTAGACCACGGGTGTCAAACTCCATCGCATCACATGACATATCGTGATGTATCGCGACATTTTGCCTTTGCGGAGCCGTGGTGGGTGTGGCCTGTACGTGACACATCCAGCCTGCGAGCTGACAGTTTGACACCCCTGCTCTAGACAATGGAAAAGAAATTATCTAGCACCTCTTTTCAGTTATCATATTACTCATTCACTTTAAATTTTCGCAGTAAGGCAAGTTTGAGTCAAGTTCAACTCCAGGTGCCTACATGATCAGAGATACATGTTTTCTTTGCAACAAGAGTTGCCTTTGTCTTCTTTCAGAATTTATTTTTTATTTTCAGATCTAGCTCTGAGATTTTTTTTGATGGTTTCCCCATCTAAGGGTACCATTTGCTTAGAATCAAAAGAGAGCAGATGGAATTGCTACACTTGAATTTGTGCACACTATGTTCCAAATATGGCAGCATATATCTTTAAAGATAAATAAAAAATAATATGAAATAGATAAAGATAATTACAAATTCACACTAGAGATATCTAATGTTATTAATTTCACACATGAGGATATACAAAACACTTTGAATTCAAATTATTTGGAGTTTTAAATGCTTAATTCAAATGCAAAACTGTTGCATATCATGCTGTTGTATACATGACATGGCTTGTCTTATCATCTTGGAAGTGTCTTAAGCTTGAAATGATGCATCCCTAATGCAAGTTATGAACTTGAAATACTTCAAAAATGATCGAAACTGTTTTGCAGTTAAAACAGGACTTAAAAGTATTTAAAGTCCAAGATGTTATGAATTGGAAATATTTTGAGTGCCCTACAATTATAGTTTAACTAACAAATGCTGTCATAAAACAAAAAATGTAATCTTTTTTCCCCCCTTCTGTTGAATTATGTCTGATTCTTGGAGAC